CTGGTGTTTCTGCTGCATAAGAAACTTCAAACTTCTTGTTTGATTGGATGGGCGTGTTTAAATTAAGCTAAGTCATAGATCCCACTTCCCAATCATCTCGCGTCCATAGATGCTGCTAATTCATTCTCCTTTTAGCTGCCATGGCATCGCTGTTGGTGTCACTGCTTTTGTGAATGTAATCAGTTGAAGAACTGAACACGAAATATGCTTGATGACTGCATGAGTGCAAACATGCTACAGCTTCTTTGGCGCAAATTCGTGGTCTTCCAAAACTGATGAATTGCTTACTTTCTGAGACAAAAATAAATCACTATCATAATTGATGTGCTTCGACGCTTAAATATCACGGGCACAGTAATAATGGCAGTGCCCACGAAAGATCCATCTCATCCAGTGCTGGTCGTGATTTGTAATGCTCATTTGGTATGATGGGTCTCTTCTATGATGAGGTAGGAGGAAAGTATCTGTCAAAGTCCAAATATTGCATTGTTAAATGGCATCAAAGTGTTTTGGGCTCAATGAAGCTAATTTTCCATAGTCATTTAGGTGTGATAACGTGGAGAGTGTTTCCACGCTTAAGCGGGCATGGGCCTCCTTTCATGACGCGGCAGACAGAACACAACAATGCATTATTTTACATAAAATGGAAATGCAGTTCCAAGTTTAGCACACTCAAGGGAAGAACAAAAGGCTTGCTAATTGTGAACTGAAGGTCTCTACAACTGTCTTCCTTAGTAGAAAGCCGGATCTCTACTTCATTTCTCTCCTACAAGAACACACATGCTAGCAGTATGCTCTACCACTCTCGTTTCGGGTAGTCAACACCACTCAGTGTGTCTGGTGAGAAGGATTTGACCCAACTACGCGATGTCTCCATCCTCCTCACAAGCAGCACTACTGATTTGATGAAACTGCATTTTCTTTCCCCTTTTCACTAGAACAGTCAGGGTTCAAGCTGAGTCACTTTGCTGACTGCAATGCTCCTCAGTACATTGTTCAAGCCCTAGCCTCTCGTGCCATCTGCCGCACTTGGTAAATCCGTCATGTGGCACACCCATTCTATGCTTCTGAATCGTGTGTGGCTAGAGTAGAGCCACACAGATAATGTGAAGCACTGGTATCTTAGATGGAGTTAACTGTCCATCTCTGCGTTAAAATCAGTGGAGACTGAAGGGCTACCACTGCCACTTTTAGATAGCTCATCTCAAGACTTCTATTCGAAGAATCCAACTCTATCACCACTTATACGGTAGACAAGTGAAAAGGGGAATCATGCGACTGGAGTGGAGTTGGAAGCTGACGAAGCCAACAAAGTCAGTTGTAACCAACACAAACTAGCACGGTCATTGCCATGAAGTGATGCGGAGAACAGTGTCACGCACACTAGTGACACTAGGTAGTCAGATCTACTGTCACACATAAGTGACGTTGGCAGCGTATACGTCATCCCTTCAATCAAATACTGTCTGTGTAGAACTCTGAATGTCTACTGAGGCAAGGACTGGTCTCTAGTTATCGAAACCTACAACAGTAATTAGGAAGAAGGGAAACCGTTGCATTTTTTCTTCCACATCCACATTCGAGGACTATTCCGTTACATTTAACATGACAAATAAATTTGATCGTGTAGGGCGCAAATTGTTGCTGATGCTGTGCTCTTAACCGAACATATTTCACTAGCGTCAAGTCGAGCGGCGCCGCCCAGATCAGAGGCAATCGTTCATGCTGGTCAAGCGTTAACTTGAGTTCTTCCTAAGCTCTCGTAGGTTATTTGTAGGCGCTTTTGATCTCTTGACGTTGGCGTTGTTTAATACTGCATGGAGTTACTTCAGCGGTTCATTCTACTACAGTTTCTTATTCACTACCACAGCTTTCTTTTCCTCTTTTCTTCATTCTCCTGTGAAACCATCTGCAAACCAGCTAAAATTGCAGCAGTTTGTGCGGAGAACAACTCGCGTTCAAAAAAGACCGTCCTTCTAGACTGCCTTGTTGACACCTGACTCGCCAGCAGAGGTAACGAAACGGGAGATTAAAAAGATTTGCAATCTGCGACGTCCTGTTAGAGGCTCTATTTCGCCTCTGAAGCGAATACACCCACCTGCTGCATACTTGAATGTTTAAATCGCATTGTATCGTCCCCTTTTACACTTCCTCTCGGTTTCTAGGCGATCTAAATGTAGGATAAGCTTAAATGCCATGCGGTGGAGGGTTGAGAATTAGTCGACTTAATCAAATGATCAACAAGTAGATGAGCATATTGTCAACTTTGGAATGGACTCGATGGATGCCCATTTTCCTTCCCCTACTTTAGTTCTCACTGATAGAGCCTGTATCAGGAGCCCTCGCTATGTTGATTCAGTTTAAGTGAAGAACGGTGCTTTGCGAAATGCAGTCCAAGCTGCAGTCTTCCGAAGACATCAACTTTCCCTCGTCGTTGTTTATTATGAACCACTAGATTGCTTTACGTCTGCCACCGGGGCATTAAACCGAATCACATGCCTAAGGATTGGATGGAAGTGCATTGCGTGTTGGAGAATGCCTCCCATTTTGCTAAGCTGTGTGGATCAGTGGCATCTGCTGCGTGGAGTCATGATTATAGGTCGCGGTGAAACACATTCACTTCCTCCCTTGGAGTCTTCGTCGCATACCTGCCAAGTAGGCGGTTAGGGATATTACTACTTAGCAAGAATTGATCGCTTTGCCAACTCCTTTGTCTCATTGTGGCTCTCCTGCTTCACAGTAGCTCAGAACTTGTTCTCCACGCTAGAGACAAGAAGGGGAAGGGGTGGTGCCCGTGCCAACGTGCTTTGTCCTTTGCTGTCTCCCCTTCGAACACCGTACAACATCTGTACACACTGCGAAGCAATCCAGTCGAGCTCTCCCCTCGCTCACAACACTTACACTCCCTGTATACACATTCACAGAACATCGGATTGCATTAAAGTGGTAAAGAAATGCCTAGTGCTGTAGCAGCTCCATCAGAGCATGGGCAAGCTCAGGAGAATATTTCCATAATGAAAATTTCAAACAGATAAAGCAAATCTTTGCCCACAAGACAATTTGGAGGCGGTGATGCGTGCGAGGTCTTGCAGTACCTTTTAAGAATAAGATCCTTTTCCTATTGATTAGACAGTCTAGCTTATTCCCATGAGAGGCGTTTTATACAACAAGCAGAAGTTGTGCCTTAACAAGTGGACAGGCAAATCGCACTCCCAGATATCAAATGAGGCAAGTGAAAAGAACAATGCATCAATCGGCTGTGATGTGCATCATGTCGCCTTCTTTCTGCTTGGTGGTTGTAGACGTAGAAGGAATCATTTCCCTCCCCACGATATTCAGCACTACTGAATATTGTTCTTGCCTATTGCCTCAACATGACTTTTCCGTCTCAGAACTAATCATCGTCAGGACCAGTTAATTCTAGGTGGTGCGTTCCGCTGCCACGCCTTCTCTAAGCACCACAGCGACCTCATGTTAGGCGCCTGTCGCATCGCGGACACACTCCGGATGATAATCTACAAGGTGTCGGGAGGTTCAAATAAGGGTACTACAGCAATGAATGAAGTCTACACATGTCTTATTATGCCCCAAAGCGTTATGACGTGTGAAATCAGCACAACCAGGTCAGAAGAAGACCTTTTTGCGTGGAAATAACTGCAAAACCACACGATTACATTTGAACGGGGGAAGGAATAGAGGGTGCGATTATCATCCTCCAATCGCAATTAGATAAATACACCTAGAAACAGGCTTCGCAAACTGGATAAAATGCAACGAGATATGGTGAAGTAGCAACAATCGACGCTTCACATCTGCGCCTACGATTGAGAGCAGGAAATAACATAGTGTTCGTCCCGTTCTCCACTTAAAACACACAGCACTCTTGATTGCCGTGAACCACAGCCCACCTCAACCCATACAAGCAAGACACATCCTCAATGCTCTCAGCTACCATCACATACACCATTCAGTAGGATGCCATAGTTTATTTCAACTTTGCCAGTGTACATACCACGTGACTGCACTCAAAGCTGATAAGCAGAAATACGCTGTGTTCCAACAGCTTGCAAAATTACTCCCTACAATCTCGCTTACATGCTTTGCCTTTCTCCATCCATATGAGGTGGACAAATAGCGCTGAAGTACGCTTCATGATGAATGTTCATTCGTTGAAGCCTCCTTTACTGTATTCGATCACAGTACGCCAGAAGAAGGCAAGCACCCTACACTTTGGCCAGAATCGAAGTTTGAGTCCAAATCAAAACGCGGATAAGGGTTTGAGAGTACGCGGAGGTGCGCTGTTAGGAGGATTTATAGCCTGCTTCCCTCCATGAACTCATCACGCTTAGAATAACGTCTAAGACGATTTGGTTTGCCCTGGTAGCACGTGAGTGCATCCGTCTTCATTTTCACTTAAATGTCAGACGGAGTTTCGCACTCCAATGCAGACTTCAGAGAAAGCTTCGTTTACAAATTATCAGAGTCAAGCCTGGTATAAGCTGATTGACTATTGAGTCGGACATAACTTGGTAATGGACAAAATGTGGCCTCAGGTAAAGTTTCATATGAGGCATGGAGCACCCTCGGATGGCAAACCACCCCTTATTCATCCCTCTAACCATATACCCACCCACGCAGTAAATTTTAAATCCCAAATTGACGACTAAAAGCAAAGTAGGCGTTACCCATTTTTTTCAACCAATTAGATGCGACTACTACCTACTTTGCTTACTGTTTATAGTAAATATTGCAAATTTGTAGCGTTGGGAATTGGATGAACGAGTGTGAGCTACTAGATGCGCTAGTGGTTCCCACATTTCTCCTCCTTCCTAAACACATGCAATTGTACTAACCATGGCACATTGCCAATATCCTTGCCATTTATTGCCAACCAAGCGAAATTGCAAATGGGCGGTGCGATTTGTGGCTCATCCGAGGCACGCCACAAGGTAGTTTGTGAGTGATTGGTTGTAAAGTAAATTGCACAACACGTGTTCACCATACGCCATCCGCATGGCCACACGAAATTCCATGGCACAGCTGCAGCTTCGTGATCGCTTGAGAGAAATTGCGTTGGGAAATGCTCCAAGATCTTCAAATCATCCACGTACAGTTGGCCACACTTCGATATTGTTTTTGAATCCACATCTCCCCCCAGCTTCATGACACGTCGTGCCACTTGCTCAAGCGTGTAGCACAGTTACATGCAGTAAGACAGCGTAGCCTGCTGAACAAGTATAGTGTGGTCATTTAGTGCGATGATGGAATGTTTTGCTAGGTTCTTCTAGCCTGATGAAGCAAATCATTCGTGCTCTCAGTTAATGGCCAGACCACAAGAGCCATGGGAGCGAGTTCCAAATGCAGGTGCATGTCATAATGAACTTTGAGATCTGCCGACGTTCCGTTTGTTGTATACAACTCAATATGTGCTACCGGTACATAATTATTAGTCTAATTGCAAGCTTACTACCGGGATGTAAGATTGGGATAGCATTGCTTAAGCTCACAGACATGACTTCGTAACCCGCAAAGAGATGCCTTGAGGCGAATTTCTCAAGATACTGTAAAACATTTTGATTTAAAAAATGGAGGAGGGACGAGTAGAATATTATTGAAGTTGATTGTGGGGGAAGATGGAATAGATTAAGGCTGAAGTGTTAGTGTGGAATACGAGTTGAATTTGCCGGATGCGTGGTGCACGTAATGGAAGAAGATTTGTCAGTGGGTTGAAACTGGCAACTTAGTAAAAAGGGG